GAAGTAGAATAAAAAAAAAATAAAAGCAATTAAAGAACTAGAACCAGAATTAGAAGTTATAATTTATGATTGAATATACTTTTAAAAAAGACTAAAAATAATTAAAAGAATATATTGTATAACAAGAAGAAATAATGCCAAAAGAAGTACATTTATAAAATATATAATAGATAAACTTTCAATATTAGAAAAACTTAACAGAAGAAGACCAGATATATACACAACAATAAATTGTCAAATATATCAAGATAAATTAAAAGAAATACAAACATACTAGCAGCATATAAGAAACAAAGAAATTTTTGAAAAAATATTCAAAAAATAACTATTACAACAGTCTAAAAGAGACTAAATGAAGAAGAAAAAGTTTGAGTTTCTTTATATGTATTATACATAATACTTTTTAGAAAAACAGAAGCAAAAAAAGTAAAAATAAGAAAGGTACTAATTAAAGATCTTATTTCAAAAGAAACACAGAACAGACTAAAGCAGCTTCTAAGCACAAAATTAAGACAGCAGTTTATAAATGTAATAGCAAGAACAGTCTAAAATATATTCTATGAACAAGTATAAAGAATCTAATACAAAAAAAATAAATGAATAGAAGAAAAATGAAGGAATAATAGGTAGAATAAAAAGAAGTAAAAAAAAAGAAAGAAAAACACCAAGTATAAAAGAAAAACCAAATCAGCAAAAAATAGAAAAAAAAAGTAAAAAAAAGAAAAACAAATTAAAAAAGAAGTACAGAAAACAATTTTAGAACTTGTCATGAAAGAAAAAAGACTCTTTTATTATAAACTTTAAGTAATTAGATAAGTAACTTATTTCTGCTTAAAATAATATAACAGGTTGCACTTAGATATTATTAGTGTGGCTGAATGATGCTGAACTTAGCTGTTAAGAATATTTATATAATTACAATATAATTTCAAAATCTTAATAAAGTACTAGCATAACTGCTTAAGAAAAAAAAATATATATATAGTACAATATATATAAACTTTTTGAATACTTTAAAAAAGTATGACAGCCAATATACAATATAGTCACATTAAAGTCATTAATCAATAAAACAAATAATAAATAAAACTTATTAACATAAAGTTGATTTTAGATCTTTATCTTATAAAAAACTAATTCTTGTATAATTAAATTATCAAGATAAGTAAAATTAATATTAAACTTTTAAAATTATAATTTTATACTTATTTTAGTTACTTTATCAAAATTAAAACCTGCTTATTCCTTATATTTATTGGTATATTTTTCACTTTACATTTGGTTTTGGTTTTGTATTTTTTTTTATATTCTATTGTTTTTTTTTTTTTTAAAAAAAAAGAAAGGTCTTTCTATTATATTTTTATTAATTAGTTAATTTACATATATAAGATACATGTTAAAAAAACTAAACTGAGACTTGGGATCAATAGTGCAGTAGTTAGCACTTCTAGGTCATATTTACAAGATCACTGGTTCAATTTCAACTGGAAGAAAAAACTGTGCCAGAATTATGAATGTTTATGGTCTTAAGGAGACTTTCTACTTCTACTATCAGACAAGAATACTATAGCAACAAACAAGTTGTGTAACATAGCTACAGAGTCTCATGATGCCCAGATAAAAAGATAATATGATATGAAATGTTAATAACATAAGGGCTTCCAGATTAAGAAAAAATCATAACAAAGATATACTAAAAGAAAAACAGAACCTGTAAGGCCATATTGATAGGAAACTGCAGATCTTGAAGTTAGAGGTCCTATACTATGAGGCCAGAAACTTAGGTTACTATAAGTAAACTTGTTAGCACATGGTATAAAGGGACTAGAGAACATCACTGATGATGTAAGTAGTAACAATATATGTAAACTTGCAGGAACCAAATAAAATAATAACTTAATAAAAAGAGTGCCACCTGCACTCCTAGTTGCAAGAACAACAGAGATATTAAAAAAAAAAAACTAAACTAGAAGAGATAAGGATAAGAGCTACTTTACTCTCAACTTATTTTTTACTAGAATGATTGGTAAACCTTTTAGTCTATAATAAGATAACTAAAAGAAGATTGTCTATAAGTGATGTAATAATAGATTTTTTTATTTAATAAAGAAGATAAAATTAGTTTAGTTTTAGCAGTATTGAAGGTTGTAATAGTAGTAGAATTGGATAAAAGAATTCATGTTGTATCATTCTAAAAGAAAGTCAGAATTCTTTATATATTGCAGAAATAATATTGTAATAAATGAGAAAAATATATTTGTATTTGTGTTTGCTGTTTTCAAATAATGCCAATTTATTGTTAGTTATTAGACCTAATGGTATTTGTTTGTTAATATAGTTCAAAATAAAGCTTAAATAAAATTATTTATATCATAGCAAGATATTTCGAAACTATTTGCTGTTTTATATACAGTATATATTATTAATATTGTAAAACATAAATGATTTTCTAGGCAATCTAGAAAATGTATAATGGTTTCAGAAGCACTATAACATCTTGAACAAAAATAGTTTAAATACTTGATAGCATTCCTCAAATAAAGAAAAAGATATATAGATAGTTCTTTAGATTGTAGTTTGATTTTAAAGTTTTTTATTGCTAAAAAAAATGTGTCAGTTACTAGGGCCAAAGATTTTTTTTATAAAATATGTATTGTAAAGATAATGTTCAGTTAATGTTATTTTGTAAATTGTGTCAGTTAGAGATTTACTGTTAACAAAACCAGGCTAGGCTATTTGAAATTTGGTATACTTCTCTTATTGTAGTTTTCAGCAAGTATGTGCAAGAATTGCCAAAAAGTTTTGGAACAAATCAATTATATAGAAATTTTTATAATATAAAGTTTAATAAAAAGATGTTGTTTTGTGTTTCTTAAATTTAAAGTTTTTTGTCAAAAGTAATTGTAATTATATGATTGTATATTATTGCTTTAGTACTAAAAGAAGATAGAAATATTGTTGCTTGTCAATTGTAAGATAGTTGTGTAATTGAATAAACTGTACAAGATTAATTAGATCAACAAGTAAAAAATTATTAGTATATATTTTTATATTAGTATAAGGATTGTTGAGGTTAGCACAAATGTTAACAAAGTTAATAGAGTGTTTAAATAAGAGAGCTAGAAGTTAGTAAAGCATCAAAGATAGTATAGAAGTGTTGAAGTTGGCATTTTGCCACTATACAAAAGTTATTTTCTAGTTTTTGTTAACTACTTGTTATATAGAGTGTTATAGTTTTCTTATTAAAGTTAGCCTTTGTTAAGATGTCCCAAAGTGGTATTAGAAAGTTAGTAAAGAAGCAAAAAGGTCTGGCTAAAGTTAATTATATTTTTTGATTAGAAGATTGATATGTTGTAGTTGGTATTAAGGCTAGTGCCTTTTTGAAATTATTTAGATCAATGTGAATCTTCTTTTTGCAATCTACTTGAAGGTTGTAGATTGGTTTTGTTGCATTAAAGTAATAGTACTTAGATGAATAAATTATACTTTTAAATATATATCTTTGACAGACTATTAGTATATTATTAGAGTATAGAATGTAATATTGAGTTTTTAAGTTTTTGTTACAAGAGTTGTAAATTCTTCCAAAGATTATATTTTTAGTAATTATCCAACTCTTTTTGTTAGGTGTTCAATTGTTTAAAGTATATGGATTTAGTTAAGATAATATTAAAGATGAATTTGTAGATGCAGTTATTTGGTCTTGCATTAAGTAAAACCAACAAGGACATTAATCTTAAGGTATTTTTTTGATATTATTATAAAAATTAATCCATGTTAAAAGTTCTGTATTAGTTGCATTTAAAAATTGCTTAATACTTGTAATAATGTGATTGTTTAGTTTTTTTTTAAGATATGAAGCTCTGGAATAATTTAAAAAAATTTGATTTATAGGTGTATTTGAGAATTTTTTTGGATATAGCTAGTCATCATCATCATGTAAGGTTTGCATTCCTAGTGCATATAGTACTATTATCATTTAAAATATTTGTGTATTTATTTGAATTGATAAAAATACAGAAAGTTGTATCAGAATTAAAGTATTTGTAATGCTGCATCTTGTAATTGTTATAATTGCAGTTTTAGAAAAGAGAAATCAAAATTGAAATGATTTAAATTTTTTTGAAGTATTAAGACTAGTGATGAAGTTTGTATCTGAGCTAAATTTTTTAGTATATAGATGTCTGGGTTGAATAAAAAGAAGTTAGAAACTTCTCACACTAGTTTTGTTTTATATTTTATCAATTGAATATATGCTCTGTTAAGTGAATTTATTTGTGAAATCAAAAGAAAAGAGAAGTATAACCAATAGATAAGTTATGAAGTAATACTACTATTTATAATATAAATTGTTTGTTTATTTGTTATATTGGTAAATTGCAATTTTTTTAGATTAATTTTGGCCTTAGCTATTATTTCTTTTTGTACTAGTATTGGCTTTTTTTTAGTTAAGAACCATGCTTCTAAATATTTAAATAGTGTTTTATTGTCTATTGCAACTAATTGTTTATTATTAAAAAGTATAGAATTATCTAAATCTAAAGAGTTTGTAACTAAAGTAGATTTTGAGAGGTTAACTCTTATATTAGCAATGTTGTAAAAAGAAGAAACAGTATGTAAAATGGTTATAAGAAATGTTTTGTTTGATGCAATCTATAATAAGTTATCTATATATACTATTACAAAAGTATGATTAAAACAAAAAAGAAAGTTCTGGGGTTAGAATTCTAACCCTAGTTTTCCTGCCTTTCTAACAACCTCTACAAATCTTTCTAGATATATTTAATCTTATATTAAATTCAAGCTCTAAATTACACTAGAGCCAAATCCTATTAACTTACTCTTCTTATTCTTAAATTTTGATTCTATTATTAAGGAGTAAGTAGTCTTTGTTAATGCTCTGACTATGTTTTTAATTCCAAACAAGATAACAAAATAATTATGCTATATTGCTTGCCTTTGAAATGAGCTAAGAGCACTGAGAACTGAAGTGTTTGAATATGCTTTTCTGCAAGCCTATTCAAGTCTAAAATGCATACTATTTTCTATATTATCCTAGAATTAATTTAAAAAGCAATTCATTATTATCTAGCAAAGAACAAAAAGTCTTACTAAAATCACTATCTATTCTGAGTTTTTTTTTTTTTTAATGTTAAGGCAAGTAATTGCGACCCAGGAGTTTATTGATAATCAGTTGGCATATAACTATTGTATACAACAGCTACAGAGGCAATCATGGAAAAAGTGTACAACTAGCCACTCATACAACTTTAGTCATTGTCTATTTTAAGTAGTCTGCCCTAAGGTTCTACACTAGTTGCCATACCTAGAACCTGCCTGTGGGTTCTCTATTTAAACACTCTAGTTCCTGTATCCACCTCTACTCTATCAACTGCAGCCATTGCTGCAAATATACCATGGTCACTAAGTCATGTTTAACTTTATACTAAGCCCACTGGAGCCTTCCATATCCTATACTTACAGCTAACCCAGTACCACTCTGGCCTAGACCATCACTTGCAGTCAGGGCTAATTATTAAACCGCTATATCCTTGTAAAGTTCACAGAGACCCCAATACCTTTCTTTCCTAACTTCCACATCCCTACTTCTGAACCTACAAGACCCACAAGACTTCCCAAACTACCAATCCAGATGGCCCATCTGGCAAACCCAGTAGCCTGGTTGGTATGTGCTCCTCTACACATGTTGTCATCTGATCCATTCGAGGTCCTAGTAATCCTTTTTTGGGGGCTTCTGATGGTTCGGTAGTACTGTCGAAAGTCTATGCTACCTCATTACTCGAGATTTCCAAGTGGGTTTCCAACTCTTCGGTTTTTTTGCTTTCTATGCCCAGTGGTCTTATCGTGGGTTTGCATCAAAGTCTTATACAACACTGGTTATTAACATTCCTCTATATGGATGTAATATTACTCTTTGCATAGATGCCCTAAGCTCCTATTCGAGATAGTGTAACAAAGGTTACAGATACACAAATCCAACTGATCGACAGAGACAGTTACCATAACACAGACCTTATTTTCCAAAATTCATCGTCCATGAGATTTGAACTCTAGACCTGCCACTTGAGGGTTAACAACCTGACCACTTCACTAGGCGCCACACCCCCATCTATTCTGAGTTTTTTAAGGCTTTATTACACAATCTGTTATAATATTAGATCACATAATAGCTTTTAACATATAATGGACACTGCTTGAATAAAAATAATTAATTAAAGAAAAAAGTTTATAAAGTATTATATACTCTGGTATATTACCATCACCAAGAGAAATAATTAATTAAAATAAAAAATTTTATAAAATATTATATACAAATTAGTATAACAAAAGGTAAATAAGTTTGTGATCAATGCAATAATAAATTTGCCACATCTTGCAAACTTTGTAATCATCTAAAAAGAAAGTTTAAATGCAAACCAAAGCCTATTCAAATATTAGTACAACCCTTTATTACATAGAACAAGGACCAAGATCCAAAAGCTGGCCCAGCCCCAGTAATCCAAGACCAAGATTCAGAAGCTGGCCTAGGCCTCGCAATCCAAATCTATAGAGAGGAGCAAACAATTATTCAATCTAATATAAACCAAAAAAAATTTACTATAGAAAAGCATTTTCGATTAATTTACAAAGTAGAAAACAGAATTATAGAAAAAGAGCCATTTACAAAAACCCATTGAATTTTTAGAAAGAAGACTAAACCCCACTAGACAACATCAAAATCTTAATTCTATGATAGTATAAGAAGGTATAGTACTCTTAAACAAACATTCTGCATATGCTTTTAATAAATGTTTAGACAAAATAGACAAAATATGCAGATGTGCCTTATATGCCCTAATTTATAGCTACAGCACAAAGTGCAATTACAGATATTCTTAAAAAAAGCTTTATAAAAAGGATCAAATAAAATCAGCATTGGTTATATATGCCACATATATAAAATATATATATAAAGGGATTGGTGATTCTATCAATATAAAAAACTATAATACAAGTTATTACTACTTGTATTATAAAAGAAACATGCATGTATTACTTTTAGAAAATGATATAGATGCTTATATAACTAGATCTGCTAGAGAAATTGATGAAAAAATTAAGAACTACTTAAAAAAAGAGTCTGGCAAAATTCTTTTTTGATTAGAAATGATATTTATCAAAACATATATATACTGCTGATCTAATAAAGGTTCTTATATTTCAATACCCAAAAAGCTTTCCAATACAAAGTATACTATTAATTCAAACAATTCTAATATTATAGATCCCTTAACAGGCAAGCTTACAGATAATTGTCTCAAAGATGCATTAAGATGTTATTTTGCCAATAAAGAAGGAATTACAGACCACTTAGAAAGATGTATATATAGGGCAAAAAGTCTTTAAAAATATTTAGATATTATCAAGCTAGATGGGATTCCTATGCCTATACTAATTTGCTCATGTATATTTAATAAGATTGAGAAGATGAATCCTAAAATCTCTATCAATGTCTGAGAATAGAAAGAAGAATCAGCAATCCCCAAACCAGTAATAGCTAGCAAGAACTATAATAGACAACATATTATATATCTTATAGCTCTTACAGATATTACCAAATTTGAAGTTAATAAATATAGTCAAAAAATCTATTTTCTTTAAATCAAAAACCCAAAAGAATTAGTATTTAAGAATAATAAAAAACATATTAAAAAACATCTTTGTAATTGGTGCTTTTATTGCTTTTAGTTAGAAAAATCTTTAATCTATTACCAAGAGCACTGTTTCAGTTTGGAGAAGGCTACTCAAAGAGTTACTTTACCTATCAAGGATGTTAATGATTTTGAGAAGTTTAAAAATTATAACCAAATGATTAATGCCTTATGTGTTATTATAACAGATTTTAAAGCAGACAACCAGAAATGCAATAAAAAATATGAAGGACAAATGCGAAAACTTGCTAAGCAAAAAGCTAATAGCTTTTGTTATCTAGTTTATTGGTTCGATACTGAAGACATATGGAGACCTTTTCTATATCAAGAAGAAAATGCTACTTAAGAATTTGTCTGAAGAATTGATAAGAAGTTGGTTAATATTAATAAAGTTTTAGCTATTAAGTATAATCAAATTGTAACATAAAAAAAATAAAAAAATTTGCCAAAGCAAATACCTGTTGGATTTGTAAAAAAAAATTTGATATAGATAATAATAAGGTCTGAAACTACTGCCACATTACATGTAAGTTTTGAGGACCCACCTATAATACCTGTAATCTCAAACTCCAGATCAAAGTATGAAAAACTCCTATTCCAGTTGTCTTTTATAATTTCCAGGACTATGACTTTTATTTAGTCTGTGAATCTGTTAGGCAATCTGTTAATACATATCAGATAAAAGTTATAGCTGAAATATTTGAGTATTATAAATCTATAAAGATAGATCAACTTAAATATATAGTTATATGCAATTCATGAATAATAGCTTGGCAAATCTTATGAAAAATTTGGGTACCAAACACTCTATAACAAGTCAGCATTTTAAAAAATATTCTTCAGATTAAATTTTTCTAGTATATTGCAAAGAAGTTTATCCTTATGAATATATTAATTTACAAGATAGATTCCAAGAAACTAAGCTTTTGCCAATTTATGAATTTAGTATATATCTTCATGGCAAAATTAATCAAAAAGATTATGAGCATGTCCAAAAAGTATAAAAAACTTTTGGTTATAAAAATCTAGATGAGTATCATGATCTTTTCTTAAAACTGATGTACTTAGCCTGGCTAATATTTGGACCCAATTCTGAAAAACATGTATACAATATTATAAGCTTGATCCAAGCCACTAGGTGTCTGCACTAGCTTTAGCTTGAGATGTTATGCTTAAAATGATAGAAGTTAAAATCAAGCTATTTACAGATATATCAATATATAACTTTATTGAAAAAGCCAAGCATGGAGGCATAACTATAGCATGTAAACAATATTTCAAGGCTAATAATCCTAAAATGGATAAAGCATTTAACCCATTTAAGCCTACATTATAGATTTTATATGTTGATGCAAATAATCTTTACAGCTGGGCTATGAGTTAGTATTTGCCTATAGGAAATTATCAATAAGAGGCAAGTTGGGAATATTTGCTTAAAAATCCTAAAATACAAAAGAAATATCTTAATAAGATTCTTAATACTGAATCAAATGTCAAAAAAGGATATTACTTAAATATTAAGATACACTTTTCTCTAAAAATCCATGACTATTTGAGTGATTTACCTCCAGCTATAAAGAATATAACTGTAAATAAAAATATGTTGTGCTTCTATACTACAGAGCTTGTAGATAACTTGGATAAAGAATGGTTTTTAGTAACAAAAAAATTGGTTTTACACCTTGGTTTATGAAAAGATTATGTTATCTATTACTAAGAACTCCAATATTATATAAAATTAGATATGATAGTTAATGAGGTTACAAAAATCTTATCATTTGACCAAACTAACTGGCTTGCATCATATATAGCTTTTAATACAGAAAAGCAACAAGATTCTAAGAATGCTTTTAAGAAAGATTTCTTTAAGCTTATGAATAACTCAGTATATGGCAAAACTATGGAAAATGTTGGCAAATACCAAGATGTCAAGCTTATAGCTATAAATAATGAGCAAGAAGAAAAAATTCATTAATCAGATTTGTAAACTCTCTTTTAAATATACTAGACAGCTTGAAAATACACTTGTAGAAGCATATATGAGAAAGGCTACTGTAACTCTCAACAAGTCCATTATTGTCAGAGCATTAGTTCTGGATCATAGTAAGCTCTTAATGTATTGCTTCTGATATAAGTATATAAAAAAGAAATATAGTAATAAAGCCCAGCTCAGATATATGGACACAGACTTATTCATATTTTAAGTTAAAACTAAAGATATATATAAAGACATGGCTAAGCGATCAGACCTTTTTGATCTTAATGATTCTAAGACTATTGGGCTTTTTAAAGATGAGACTCTAGGCAATATAATTACAGAAACTTATCATATCTGGGCTAAGTCATACCATTATGTTTTAGCAAATAAGTTTACAAAGTCTAAGTATAAGAGGGTTAGTAAAAAAAGGCATAAATAAAATAGCTATGAATTTATATATGTCAGCTTTAGAAAGGTCCTTGCTAAATGATTCAATAGATAGATCATTATTATCAGAACAAAAAGCCAATAATTTGGTTATATGAACTGAGGCAGGTTCTATAATCCTAGTATATCAGGATTGTTTATTTAGTAAGAAAGTATTCTATGTCAAAAATGTAGGTATCTGTTTAAAGAATCATATATTATCTTTAGTTGAATCAGAAAAAAAGACTTTATGCTCAATAGATACTAAGTACTAGATCCTATCAGATAGAATTACCTCTTTTGCCATATTTTTATTAATATAATAAAGCTTATAAGAATATAATCAAAAATAGTATATCTAATGAAAAGGCTAAAAAAAAAGCTATTAAGGCCAAGCTTCCAGAGAAGTATCAAAACAAATATATATCTCACTTAGCTAGCTTATTACTATAAACTAGACTAGTAAAAAATTTCTTAAAAGCTATAAATAATATATATATTTTTTTAAAAAATATATAATATATCACTAAACACTATTAGATAAATAATATTACAGGGGTGTGGCGACCTAGTGAAGTGGTCAGGTTGTCAACCCCCCAAGTGGTAGGTTGGGTGTTCAAATCCCATCGA